CTTAGCCTAACACGTTTCATTTTCTTTAAAAAGTACTTATAGCATACATATGTTGACACACAATCACGTTGACTTACTTAATATAAAACAATAATACTGACGTTCAATGACTTTTCATCATCATCATCATCATCACCAGCTCACTATATGTCCCCACCGAGGGGCTCGGAACCTACCCTAAATTAGGGTGATTAGGCCATAGTCAACCACGCTGGCCCATTGCGGGTTGGTCGACTTCACACATATCTTCGCCGATATGTGCAGGCATCACGATGATTTCCTTCACCGTAAGAACGTCGGGTAAATTATGTACATATGAAAATTCGAAAAATCGAAAAATCGAAAATCACATTGGTACGGCGGGATTCGAATCCAAGACCTGTAGATTACAAGTCAAGTGCTTAAAACACTGAGCCACCGACGCTCATCTGTTCTAAGATCTAAATTTTTGTTATAATACAAAATGATTAGAATATGTATTATACTCTTAAGTTATAAATGGGGTTAAGTTATAACTAAGAAATTAAACACTGTATTACAATTACTTGGAATTCTTTTCAATATCCAACGCTATTTAAAATTCCATCACTTATTTCAAATTAACTCAATTTTGACATTTACAAATTGCAAATTGTCTATTGAATTCGCAAAGGGCTGATCGACCGGTCGTATAATTTCTTGGACTGGTACTTTCAAATTAGTAGAAATCGCACGTACACCAGGCACGATCTTACTCTGGACCTTTCTTAGGCTTATTATGTCTGTAATTGCTATTTTAAATGGTCATTTATTATGAAACTCTATTAAGACATTAAATCCAATAGCTTCGAATAAAAGTTCGACGATGTAAGGTTCTGGATATATTCAAAACATTTGGCAAAGATCTATCTGCGTATATACTCAAAATAATATACTATCTATACTAATATTATAAAGAGGAAAGATTTGTATCACTGAGTAAAATAGGCTATATTTTGTACTGTTATTCCACGTGGACGAAGTAGCAAGCAAGAGCAAGAATATAATAAGATGGAAAGGAAATAAAATTAGACCTCCGGCACACTTATCAGACGAAATAAGAATTGCTCCCACTTCACGCCTGTCTTCTGTGTGGTCGTGGTATTGCAATAGCGAGCTGGCCCATTAAAACAAAGACGTTAAAGCGGGTTCTACCACTGTTGAATTTTCTCGTCCTAAACAGCTATAAAAACAACACGTTAACAAGAAAACAGCGACTAAATTACCAATTCCACACTGTGTTGTATGAAGCAAAGACAAACATTATTCGTTTTGACTAATAGGAGGGAAATAGTGCTCGAGAAAACGATTCGATCCGAACGAATGAATATGTAGATTCAATCAACGTCCGGGAAAGCGACGCGGGAATTTGTTATCTCGATACGTGAAACAACATTAACACGAGAAAGAAGAACAAATGACATGCGCATGCTTTGAATCACAAAGAACATTCAAACTGAACAGATTTTGTAATGAAAAACAAAGTTTTGCGGTAAAAATACATGAACTAAGAGAAAAGCATATTATGATCTGATAATCTTGTAAAATTATGTAAACATCAACTCCAAATTGAGCACCAATAGCCTAATGGTTTTGGGATACGGACTACCGATCTTGCGGTCGAGCATTCGAATCCCACCAAGCGACTATTGTCGTGAACCTAGCACAAGCCTAGAGTTTAACTGGAACGGTTAAAGGAAATATAAGTAAATTAACAAAAACCTACTAACATTTTCTAATAAAAAATAAGAATAGCAAATCTTATTCCATTATTATTTATCTACCAACTCCTCTTTCTCTCCACATCTTTACTAAAGTTAGAGGAAAGATTTGTATTTTTATAATTATGTATTGAAATTACTCAACTACTGGTCCTATTTCAAATATTCTTTCACGATTATAAACCTCCATTATCAGTGAGTAACACTGGCTATATTTTTTTATGATTTTTAAATTCTATTTCAATGAAGTCGCAAGCAACAGATAGTCATTTAAAATTTTTATATAAAATCTAATATTAAAACAAATCATAATAAATATCTGTTAATACTTTAATTCCTAATCTGTATTTCTTATTTCTAATTAACAATTCATTCAACGTGAACTGCGAAAGACAAACAGACATTGTACATAATATCTTCATTCCATTACGTATGTATTGAGGTCGTGATTTCCATTAAGCGCACTGACCTGAAAATTTGCATCAAGTAATTGAAGTAATAGATTATATCAAGTGAGATACAGTTTCATGGTTAATATGATGATAATAACGATGAAACAACCATAGCTCGGTTACTAAATACTCCAACTCTCTCAGAAGAACCCTGAACATAGGGTGGATTTAACAGTGGTAGAGCCCGCTTTAACATCTTTGCACGAATGGGCCGGCTCGCCCGGTGTAATACCACGACCACACAGAAAACAGGCGTGAAGTGGAAGCAATTCCGCGTTTCGTCTGATGAGTGTGGTGCCGGAGCCCTAATTTTAGTCCCTTTCCCTTTCCACCCTTTTCTTAAGAGGTAAGGATGGGAAGGAAAAGTGGATTTGACGGTGGAGGAGATGCATAGGAAGGGGAAATGTCCTCTTTATATGCGTCTACTCCTCCGTCAATCAAGGGCAGGCAGCGCATCTGTAATTGCGGATGTCTGTGGGCAGCGGTCGCTTTCCATTTCGGTGGATTTAGGTGGCCGCTTGCTCGTTTGCTACCTTGTATTATAAAAAAAAAGGGACACTCTAAGACTTCAATGATCTATGGTCTTTATAACTACATGTGTAAATTTAATTGCTTGAATATGTATTAACTAGATTTTATTAAATCTTACTTCTTACTTTCTACTAATCTTATAAATATAAAAGTTTGGATAATTGGATGTTTGTTACTATAAATCTCCGAAATTCTAAGGAGTTTACTGAAATTTGGAACATAGTTTAGAAGAAAACATAGGTTATTTACTACGTTTTTATCAATTCGGCTTACAGCTACACAATATTAATACACGCATTTCTTTTACTAAACTATGACACAACCGTTTAGTCTCGTTATGAGCTTATATGGAGGAGCGCACAATACTTTATTTTTTAGTTGTGCGATTGTCGCTTGTTTTGTCACTGTTTAGTCACAGGTGTATGCCAGCTCTTTGTTATTGACTGTGCATTGTAAAAAAATATAATATTTTGTCAACAAAACAAAAACGAATATACTTTTAGAGCGAATCGCTTTTCATTTGTTACGATATGTTTATGAAATATATTCATAGAGAGGTTGACCCCAATATTAAGTGGAATTCTCAACAACTTCGTGTAGAGGGGTCATGACTTGGCAATAAAAAGCGGTCCCTACCACGTTACTTTATTATGAAATACATTTGAAGCGTTTGCAGTTTGATTTAAAAAATATTTCGCAATATTAGGTATATAAATAATGTTTATTATCCAGTTTTACTTTCAATTTGTTACGTTTTTATTTCAGCATCAGGCATTTATACTGTGGGCATTTTTAAAACTGTAAAGAAAATCAATCGCTTACATCACACTTTTAGGAGCCAACGATTTCAAAAGGATCTAATCGAACTAAAATCAAGACTTTGGCTTTCTTCCAAATTTAACGAACTTACTACCAAGTTCCTTAAAAATATTTATTATAGTACAAAACTCCAAAATATAGCAAAAAATAAAGTTTTACTTGACTTATCATCTTTTTAAAGCTATATATAGCTTTCATAGCTTGTCTTAGGAAACCATTAAGAGCCCACATTTTAGAAATTACTGATATTTTCACAGAGTTTACGCCTCAAAAACTACTTCTTATGAAAACTTTGACTAAAACAATCCCACAACTGTCTCGCTTTGATTCCTGTGACCTTATATGGATACACACTATTTTTGTTCTGCAACTAAACAGTTGAATTGACTGGAAAACAATCGACAATAGCAGTTGTGCGATAGTTTGGTCAAAGGTGTGCGCCCTCTCTAAGGCTAATCATCTAGACCTAGTCTAGACCATCTAGCGACGCTTGCGCGTATGTAAAACATGTCCTCCGTCAATCAACGGTAGGCAACGCATCTGCAATTGCGGATGTTTATGGGCAGCGGTCGCTTTCCATTTCGGTGGATTCAGGTGGTCGCTTGCTCGTTTGCCACCTTATGATATAAAAAAGACATGTTTGTCGGCCGTACTGCGAATTTATATGAAGTAAACTTGTAATTAAAGAAAATAACGATATTATCTCATAATATAGGTAATAAGAATGATATATAGTATAAGAAAATAAACACAGCGGGGAGTAGAATACATAAAAGCCTTTATATTTTCCTAAAACATTTTTACTCGAAACGTAGACACTTGGAATGAGTAAATATTATATGAAGTCTCATATCTCGTAGTTCGTACGAATGAGGGCATAAATATGAAGTCACCTTTACATTATAATTTTTCACCGCTATTCATAAGATATGTACAAAAGAACAAAATTCTAAGGCACCGGTGAGGAGGTTATTATGTAACCTCTACGACCTTTGATTACGACATGTTTAAAAAAAATACTAATGAGTCTAAATACTAATAAGTCTAATACTAGAGAGTCATTTAAGGCGATACTAGAAAAGTGTATTACAATAAGTTAAACCAAAAAAATGTAACGCATTTTTTAGGTACATGTGTTCAATTACGACTGCTCCTTAACAATTAAAAAAACATAAGCACGTTACGGGCTTGTTCATTATTTTAAATTATCTCACTTATGTTGCTTTTACGTCTAAAACAACTTATTAAGGAAAACTTTTTAAAACAAATGGAATGTAATTGTTTTTTAAATCATCAATTTGTGAAGTTTAAATCTAGAAGACAAAGTGTAGACTAACACAATATAAAAAACAAACAAAACATCACGGTTTGCTTGTAGTATTTTATTATTAACATCTAAGCATATCTATTATGATAAGTTAAATAAATAAAGTTTAACATCAAGAGAATAAAATAACATAAATTAATATCTAGATATAAATTTATTTACGTTTTTTCTCGTCTTCATTCTTTACTTCGGTTAAACTCAACGTTGATTTCCGAACGTAATGATCGTATTGTAAATCAAGCCGATACGAGTCTAAACTCGTCTGATGTATCATATAACGACTGAGGTTTCTTGGTGCTTGAGATCCAACGTACTGAAAAAGAGCTAACATTAACTTCTTCTAATCCAATTTTTGACATAGACAAATTGTGAATATTTGTATCAAAATATCTACTTACATATCGAGAATCGTACATCTTTCTAAGTTGCCTGATGTAGACATTTCTTGGACCCCATCCTGGTAATGGTTTAATTAAACTTTTGAAGCTCTGAAAAGTAAAACGACAAGTTGAGCAACAACTCTTCTAGCAGATTTATTAAATGTTACTACTGTTTCCACTGCATTAACACACGTAAAACTATTGCCATCTCAGTCATCACAAGGGGAACGACAAAGACGACAATATGTTACACGACATACCTTATTCTTCACACACACGTGCACAAACGAAATGTATATTGCTCCTAACAAGAAAGGGATTGACATTGAGTAAAATATTAGTTCAAAATTGAAGAGTTTTGCGTAATCAGATGATCTGAAAACGTGGAAAAATCCTTTAAACATTTCGTACATTTTTATCTGAAAACAAGATTTATATTTAGTTTCTGTATTAGTATGCTAACCGTACGTAAGGTGACAAACATTTACATTGCTATTTTATGCAGAAGATTAAAACTTACCAAGTAATAAACAGGTACTATACGGAAATTTATAATTCTAAATTTAGTTGGCGACACTCCGTGAAAGAAGGTTATATCATCCACTAGACGTCCCAGAGGATACAAGCAGTAAATAAATATTACTTCAAATGTGGTCACTGAACTTATAGTGTACATGTACAGCAAAATGCGAAACTAGAAAAAAAAATCATAACTAAAATCGACTATTCAATATTTAAAAACAAAAACGCAATATTCTCAATGACAATGAAATCACGTGAATGTGAGACAAATGACGATCGAGTAATGTACAGAAAATTTACTATAAAAGGTACGAGCATGTACGTAACATCATCAGCCTGGGCCAATCTACTGCTGGGTATAATCCTTTCCAGTTGCGTTCCAAAGTATGCGTGAAGTATGCCATAAAATAGTATACTTACAACGAAATACGTGATATAATTGTACATAATACCCAAAATGCACAAAGCGACAGACACCAAAATTCTGTTGGCCCATCTCCATTCAAATATAATTATCTCAATCAGACATTGCATTGTTATTATCTGAAATTTACATACAAATATTATAGTTCGTACATGTACTGATAATAAATAAAACATTAAATAGAACAGCTCCAAATTTGTAGAAAATAAAACTTACTATTGTTAGATATTCCATTAAGAAACTCAATGTGAAATACAAAAGTGTGTAAAAATTCCCCAAGTAGAATGCGGAAAAATATATAGGCCATAGAAATAGATATGAATTTGGATCTGAAATGAAATACGCGTAAAGCATAAAATTGAGAAACACATTACTCAGAGCGATCAGAGGTATCTAATAAGTGGATGACGAACTTCTTAGTGGTCTTTCAACCGATTGTGTCTGTTGTTGGAATGATAGAAGTCGAATAAAGAACTTACTAAATTCCGTTAAAAATATTGGACATTTCACCATGTTTTCACAGTGTATCTTCAGTCTATAGCCCAGTAAACCTCTGAATATGTAGTATAGGGAATTAGACAAGATCATTGCGATACTATCACGATCCGGGTTAATCTGCAATTAAAAATGTAGTTCAGATATTCGTATTAGAATATATTCTGAAAGTGTTAGTAAACTTCCTACAGTAAAGATGAACTGCTCGAACTATGAAAATCAAAAGAACACCACATATTATTAAGCATTGCTTTTGCCTTTATTTGTCTGTGGAATTAAAAAGTAAGGAGTCTATGAGTCATTCGAAATTGTAATCTGTCTGTTCTGAACATCGAGATCCGTTGACGCGATTCAAACAGACGTAGTAACAAACTTATATGCACCATAAGATTAGTAAGAAATTTTGAATACCTTCGAAGTGCTCCGAGACGTCAACACGTGCACGATGGGTGGCGCGGTCATTGATTCTGACAAAATGTCGGTGTCAGCTGCCTAAAAATTATACTTTTTTAAATATTTTTCAATCCGCATACATAGCTAAAAACTTTGCAGAAAGATTAACGTATATCCATTAAAATCTTTGAAGGCTTAAACTAAGTGTTTAACAGTTCCCATACCGCAAATTTAAAAAATTGTTGTCTGTGCTGTAAATCATATGCTGCTTTAAAAAGTCAAGATGTTTGAAACCATAATAGTGACATACCCAAATAATACGGACTTCTTCGTCATAAGTTATTGGTATACTTTTGAGGTCGGTTTCAAAATATGCAATCACTAAATGTGTAAATGTAATTAGGTACAAAGCAGTTAGAATCATTTGCACGTTGTTAAGCATCTGTAAGCAATAGCGTATTAATCAGTAAGATGTAGATTATTTATGAACAATGGAAAAGTTTCCCTTTCTGATTATCACCATCAAAGAAGCCATAATTGAATGTATAAATATAACCATAACAAGAATTAGACCCAATGCAGAGTGATTATCAAATGACATTTCACCTAAAGAAGTAGGAGCCATTTAAAGTGGCATTACTTTAAAAATAGCGTTGACTTACTTTCCAAATACGTCTATTGTACAATTGTTTGTAATTAAATATGGCAGTTATCCAAAGAAATACGAAGTAGAGGCTGGTATTTAGTAAGTCGGCATATCGATGTCTGGAAAGTGTTATACAAATTTAATCAAATAATTAATTCATTCATTGGATTAATTAATTAGTTTTTTATTAAATCACCTGTGATATACAATAGGAGCCAACTGGAACGATACATTTCTAGCAGTTAGATAGATTCCACTTTCAAAGATCAATGTTTCGTTTTTTGTGACTTGATAAAAGTTTTCTATGTCCAAACATTTGGCAACATTTTCACCAATTTTTACGTATTCTGAATAACACCTATGTAGTAAAAATATAAGATAATAAGCTTGAATATAAAGAACGTAACTCTGCAACTGTCTTTACCATCAATGTCATTTTTCTTAGGAGGATTGTCACAGTATTGTTATTCGATACATTAATGTTAACTTGAAAAAATGTCAAAATACTGAAATACCTGTTCCAAGGGTTTTTGTAAAGTATACCACAGACTATGTAATCCAATAGAAAAACCACTGTATCGATGTATAAAACTAAATAAATTAAACCAGCTACAACGAACGCCAAGTTTGTTCCTATAAGTTAAAACATTTGTTAACAGCATAACAGTAATCTTATCAAAGAAGAATTTACATAGATGTAAAAAAATGGTATACAGCTAGCGGGTATTCTCAAAATATCAAAAGTTTACAGTCTATTCAGAGGTCTACAATAATTTAGATTTAAATAGATTTCGGATGAGTCTTCTTTCTTTAACAACCAGGCGACAGGATGTTTGACCAACGGTACCTGTCTTTCCACTAAAGGTAGCGAGGAATTGGAAGTGAATGTGGACCGCTTTCAATCCCTCATTTATGAGAAAATAGTTCGACAGGGACTACTTCACAAATGAGATCTAGAAGTTCCACTTACTACTGTCTTCTATACGGTCGTGGTATTTCAGCTGCAAGATCTAATGTTAAGCAGTTACCATAAGCAAGTGGTACCATCTTCGATAAGAACAAATGTTGATCAGGTACATAGGAACTTAAGAACATATAGATGTACGTGTTGGGCAAACTTTTGCAGAAGACGTTCATGATATGAAACCATAAGTATCTGAAAGCAAAGACGTAATTAGTTCCAACTGTAAGTCGTTTGTCTTCTATGTTTGTGAATATTTTAGACCAGGAATGAGGAACCTTTTCGTATTAACTTGCCAATTTTCCAAAGAAATGTCTGATCAGGTTATCAAATTTGACTTTCTGATTATTGGGTTTTTATTACTGTTATAAAATGTATTTACTTGTTAAACTGAGCCTGCTGCGTGCATATTATTTGTGTTTTACTCGGTGATGAAACGTACGCTCGGTAAAACGCCAGTTTTTCATATACCGTCGCTGGTATTATAGGACGGTTAGTATGAATTTCATTCTGAGAAAATTACACGATTATTAAATGTAGAAGACTAAATATATCCGTATTTATTTTAGGGTTCTTTGGACCTTGTATAGATCAAACAGTACTTTTAGCATAATTCAGCAGTTTATGCTACAAACTCTAACACAGATCCTTCCATCTATTCATTTAAACTTTCGCGTTACAATATTAATAAGAAGCAAGATTAGAAATGTCAGGTTGATCAGTTCTTTGAACTAAAACATTTAATTTCTATGTAACGTGTATGAAATATTTACCGTTTTTAAAACTGTGAGTTGGTTGGAATTTGGATCGATGAGTGGTTTATCAAAATCAATCGACGCTGTTGGTGTGATGCCAGTATCCCAGCTCGCGAATTGGCTAGGTTTTGGCTCCTCTAACTGTAATGTACCCATGTTTATAACAATAATGGCAACCAAGAACTTATTTAAAAAACCTTCTGTAAGATAAGTTCAAATCGGCTCTGAAACTCGTATAAATTACGTAAATCTTTGTGTGGTATTGTTATTAAAAAATAATCAACATTGACAATTGACAAATGTCAATAATGAAAACAATATCTTTAAAAAATCCAGCAATTCTCACTTATAAAGGCAGTTACACACGGTCAGTTTTACAAAGGAGATAAAACCGTACGGGTAGGAACGTGATGATGAAGTGAATAGTTCCTTGCAGATCTAATATTCATAGTACAATCAATACACTCCTATATCTCCAATACTGCCTCTATCTTATACTGGTATACTTAAAATTTTAGCAATAACTTACATATGTCTAATGTAAGCGATTATTTAATCTTTATAGTACGTGAGGGAGTACGAATGCATCGTTGTAAGTTATTGCTTGTTGTTTCCATATAAATAACCTTCATGTGTTTGAAAAAGTAGTCGAAACCTAACTTCTGGGATTACTAGCTATTTCTATCTATCAATATTCTATCAATATCTAGCTATCAATATTTTTCATTAAATTTGTTTTTCTGATTTTGTTTAATTTTATTAATTACAAGCTTTCGCCTGCGACTCCGTCCGCGTGGTATTAAAAAAAAAGAACCCTATGTGTTCTTCCATACTTTGCTCTACATTTATGCCAAATTTCATCCAGATCCGTTCAGCCGTTTAGGCTACAAAATCTAACAAACATCCATCCGTCCATCCATCCATCCATCTAAACTTTCGCATTTATAATATTAGTTTGATGTAGTTAAAATTTTCTAAATACTGTTATGAAAGATGACACAAGAAATGTACGATCAGTTTTTAGTACTTATGTATATTTAATTGAATCAGATTTCCAACACTTAAGAATTCTCGGAGTGGCATGTTTTCTTTTTTTAAATTTCACTTTAAATTGTAAATATGAATTACGGTATTCATGAATTATTCAAAATGTACCTTTTTAATTTAAAAGCATTTCACTTCAGTTGCAGTGCTTATTTAAACATTTAAAATATTAACGTATAAATATATGTGTATATCAAGGATGCAAATTAAATTTTATATTTAGAGGTATTTGTCTATCTATGTACACTTATATGATAAGGCGTAAACACACACTACTTAGTTATGTTATCTCTACAATATTATTAATCAAAAGCCATACATTTACTACATAATTTTAAAACTAAAAAATGCCACATCAAAATACACAATTTACATTCCTACATCAGTGACGTCACTGGCGCATTACACGAGAGCGTTATGAAATTTGCGCATTCATTGTTTTGGAAAAATGAAAGCAAAAAGCAATTTTCCGAAGCATCGGGGAATTTTAACATCACATGCTCCGACTCGACTCTATGAAGCTTACAAAATGTGTAAAGGAAATGTATGCAAAATAATTTCCCAATTTTCACTAAAATCTTCGACATCTTTTTCCAATGCGTGCGTCAAATGAAAAGGAAAAGTCTTAGAATAATTTAATTACAACTATATAAAAACATGCTTAGGAAAAACGGTACTTGTTTTACGAACGCTTATATAGTCGCAACACATAGAATATGTCAAATTAATAGTACAATAGTTAGTACACTGTACTATTCATTTTTAAGGTCAAGACATATGTACTGTACACAAAAATATGCACATTTTTAATACCAAAAAGGGGAACACGAGCGGAGGGAACACCTCAGTGTTCGACGCCTAAAGACATCCGCAATACCAGAGGAACTGCAGAAGCGATGTCGGCCTTTGAGAAGGTGTGTTGGGTTACCATTTAACATTATTCCTGAAAGCCTACAAACATTCACTCAGCTTATATGATAGCCATGCATAGCAGAGATTTACGTCAAAGCGTGTGATAGTCTGAAGAATTATGATCGGCATTTTGCGGGTAGTTTGCGGGTACGGTCGTGTCGGCTTTATGGAATATTTGACAAACGGCTTTTAGTTGAACGACGTTTTACAAGGGAATATTGATTATAAACGCATTATTTTCGCATATACCGCTTACTTGGGCCTTGATGATATAGAGAGACTACTAACTTTCGCCTGCAATTCCGTCCGCGTGGAATAAAAAAGTAAGTAGCCTATGTGGTCTTCCAGACTATAATTCAGATCTGTACTAAATTTCATCGAAATCCATTCAGCAGTTTAGGCTACAAACTCTAACAAACATCCAACGATCCATTTAAACTTTCGCATTTATAAAATTAGTATAAAAAGTATGATTGTTACAGATTTTTTCTAATGTAATATTTATTTGTATACTCTGTAAGTGTGATATTTTTTTTCATTGTTGACATTTGTCAATTGTCAATGTTGAATATTTTTTATAAGAACATTAGATAAAGATTTACGTAATTTATACGAGTTGTAGGGATGATTTGAATTTGTTTAAGAAACGGTTTTTTTTTAAGTAAACTATTTGTTGCCATTATTGTTATAAAAATGGGTACATTACAGTTAGAGGAGCCAAAACCTAGCCAATTCGCGAGCTGGGATACTGGCATCACACCAACAGCGTCGATTGATTTTGATAAACCACTCATTGATCCAAATTCCAACCAACTCACAGTTTTAAAAACGGTAAATATTTCATACACGTTACATAGAAATTAAATATTTTAGTTCAAAGAACTGATCAACCTGCTGACATTTCTAATCTTGATTCTTTTTAATATTGTAACGCGAAAGTTTAAATGAATAGATGGAAGGATCTATGTTAGAGTTTGTAGCATAAACTGCTAAATTATGCTAAAAGTACTGTTTGATCTATACAAGGTCCAAAGAATCCTAAAATAAATACAGCGCATATGAATAAATTCGGATTTAATAATCGTGTAATTTTCTCAGAATGAAGTTCATACTAACCGCCCGATAATACCAGCGACGGTATATGAAAAACTGGCATTTTATCGAGCGTACGTTTCTTCACCGAGTAAAACACAAATAATATGCACGCAGCAGGCTCAGTTTAACAAGTAAATACATTTTATAACAGTAATAAAAACCCAATAATAAGAAAGTCAAATTTGATAACCTGATCAGACATTTCTTTAGAAAATTAGCAAGTTAATACGTAAAGGTTCCTCATTCCTGGTCTAAAATATTCACAAACATAGAAGACAAACGACTTACAGTTGGAACTAATTACGTCTTTGCTTTCAGATACTTATGGTTCCATGTCATGAACGTCTTCTGCAAAAGTTTGCCCAACACATACATCTATATGTTCTTAAGTTCCTATGTACCTGACCAACATTTGTTCTTATCGAAGATGGTACCACTTGCTTATGGTAACTGCTTTAACATTAGATCTTGCAGCTGAAATACCACGATCGTATAGAAGACAGTAGTAAGTGGAACTTCTAGATCTCATCTGTGAAGTATCTTCTCTTTACTACCATTATCTATTACACTAGGGAATGGAAGTGGTCCACATTCAGTTCCAATCCCTCGCTACCTTCAATGGAAAGACAGGAACCCTTGGTCGAACATCCCTAGTTGTTAAAGAAAGACGACTCATCCGAAATCTATTACATTATTCGAGACCTCAAGATAGACTTTTGATATTTTGAGAATATCCGTTAAAATTACTATGTTATGCTGTTAACAAATGTTTTAACTTATAGGAACAAACTTGGTGTTCGTTGTAGCTGGTTTAATTTATCTAGTCTTGTACATTGATACAGTGGTTTTTCTATTGGACTACATAGTCACCGGTGTATTTTACAAAAACCCGTGGAACAGGTATTTCTGTTTTTATATATATTTTCAAAAGACAATGGAATATACCAGCAGCCGTTAAAATCCATTAAAAAGCCGTAAAAAAAAGTTCGTGTGGTAATGAAAAAAAAACAAAAATGAGTAGCCTATGTGTTCTTCCGGATTATCCTCTGCATCCATACACAATTTCGTCGAAATCCGTTTAGCCGTTTAGGCTACAAACTCTAACAAACAATCCATCCATCCATCTAAATTTTCGCATTTATATTATTAGTATGATTAAGGTTCTCTCAAAATTTACAGAGAGGGAAAAGGTGAAGTCCGAAGAAAGTATGAATGGATCGTGTGAAAGGGAATACGATAGAGAAAAGGGAGTGAACTCAGATATGACGGTTGATAAAAATGTATCGAAGAACGTAATTTGCAGACCCTCCCAAGAAAAGAGGCATCGATGCTGAAGACAGTTACAGAGAATGTGTCGTTTCTTGTTGTCCTAAATCATGATAACTCCTTTAAATTCTAGTTTTTTACTTTATATTTTACTACATAGGTGTTATTCAGAATACGTTAAAATCAGTGTATTTATTGCCAAATGCTTGGACATAGAAGCTTTTTATCAAGTCACAAAAAACGAAACGTTGGTCTTTGAAAGTGGAATCTATCTATCGGCTAAAAATGAATCGTACCAGCTGGCTCCAATTATATATTACAGGTGTTTAAATTGATTAAATAATTAAATATCCAATAATCATCGGCACCAGCTCACTATACGTCCCCACCGAAGGGCTCGGACTACCCTAATAAGGGGTGAATAGGCCATAGTAAACCACGCTGGCCCACTGCGGGTTGGTTGACTTCACACATATCTTTGAATTTCTTCGCAGATATGTGCAAGTTGCATCACGAAGTCTTCCTTCACCGTAAGAACGTCGGGTAAATTATGTACATATGAAAATTCGAAAAATTGAAAATCACATTGGTACATGTACATGGTGGGGTTCGAACCCAAGACCTGTAGATTACAAGTCAAGTGCTTAAACCACTGAGCCACCGACGCTCAATGAATTAATCTCCAAAATATCCAATGAATTAATCAATTAATTTTATTAAATGGTATAACATTTTCTAGGCACCGATATGCGGATTTAAAAAATACAAGCCTGTACTTCATATTTCTTTGGATAACCGCCGTATTTAATTATAAACAATTGTACAATAGACGTATTTGGAAAGTAAGTCAACGCTATTTTTAAAGTAATACCACTTTGAATGGATCCTATTTATTTAGGTGAAATATCATTTGATACTCAGTTTGCAATGGGTCTAATTCTTGTTATGGTAGTA